CTGCTATAGGACTAGTTTAATTACAACATTTTTAAAATAAAATCTAAGTCTTATAGCAGTTCATCCGTCCCTTCACTGATTCTGGTGCTGATCGTCTTGATTACCTGAAACATGAATGTAAGGGTGAGTATTCTACACTACTCAATACATAACTATCATAGAGTCTCACCTTGCCTATACTTCACGCAAAACACACATGAACAACATTTTCATACATTTCAATTTAACTTGACACTAATGCAGCAATCAATCATGCACACTCGCGCGCTCAAGGTGCACCGCCACGTTTACCGTGACACTGTGATCATAGATGTTCACTATGGATGGTCGTCGGTTACTCCTGCCTCACAGATACCACGTGGGCAGTCACGGGTCACTCAGTAAATATAGTAGTCAGAGGTTTAGTCAGGAAGAGAGTGTGTGGCCCGTGGTGCACTCGTTTCACAGTCAGTGTAACCACCACTCTCTCCTCCCCAAGGTATTTCTACCGTCTTCATCTTCCACACCCTAGTGTATCGCTAAACCATTCACAGTACATTATAACGGTGCTACACGCCTCATTCACATACATTTCATTCACACACGCAATATTCATGCTTACACATGGCACACAACCTATATTCAATTTACATTACACGATACATAGCCCACATTTTATCCATAATATACGGCACATAGCCTTCATTTATTCACAATATCATTAATTCACCAATCAATGACATTTCATCACACACAATCACCCCCACGGGGTCTAATTATTCTAGCACACATCACATTGCATACCAATTTTCATCAACACATAATTTCTACTCCCTATTTTAGCCACATTGCATTAATGAAAAAAACACACAAGAATTACAACACATTGAGATAGGGTAGAGTCTCCCCTTACCTTGGATTGAAGACCTACACTCGAATTCAACCTCAGACGTGCTCCCCACACAGATCTCGACCTAAACCCATGGAGAAACTCTATGAAAATCCCATCACCAAAAACAGAGAAAAGAGAGGAAAACAAAAACCCTAACTGTTTAAAACTCACCTCCAAGCATTTCCCACACGAATTCAACCTTCAATCTAGCTTCCGAACGACTTTGGAGGCAATTAATCGATGGAAAAAAGTTTTGGGTTGAGAGAATCGAAGGGATTTTGAGAAAATGAATTCCCAAACCCTAAACCCCCTTTCTAAAACCCCTCTAGTCGCGACACTCTCGCTACAGCAAAATATTCTCGCTGCAGCGAGGTCCCTTCGCTGCAGTGACATGCCCTCTCGCTACAGGAAAAAACTTAGAGAAAAATGTACTCTGATTTCTACAGAATCTCGCTACAGCGAGACCCTCTTGCTACAGCGAGTATCCAGGAATGCACCTCAAACTATCGCTCTATCGCTACAGCGAGACGTCTCTCGCTGTAGCGAGAAGGCGACAATTTCGGTCCTTCCTCTCAGGACCCTCTTGCTGCAGCGAGAACAACCCAGTATTACACTATTAACCTATTTTCAGCATCAGAAAATCCAATCCAATCATATATACATATCTATACATACCCATAAGCATATATATATATAACAATAATCAATATTATAAAAATTTGGGCTGTTATATAGTTTATGGTTATAATTTTGTTTTGTTATTTCTGTTGTTTATGTTGTAATTGACTATATTTTTTAGTTGTGGGTTGCACTTCTATTTTGGATAATGTAAATATATTGCATCACAATGTTGTTGAAGCATATTTTGGCAAGTTATAAGTGCATTGGTGGTTACATTGTATAGAATTAGCTAATGTGTAATGACATGTGGAGTAAATAGAGTTGTTAGTTGTTAGAAAATGATTTGAAAAACTCCTTTTTGGTTTTTGGAGGTAGTACCATTTATTTTGTGGAAAGTGATTTGGAGAAAGTCAAATAGGTCATGTTCTGAATCTAGGAATTGTTTTGAAAAATCAAAGAAAAAGGGTTTTTGTAAATGTGGAAAGTTAAGGTCTAGATGAAAGAGAGTTAGGATGTCTTGTGCATGGAAATAACCAATTAGAAAGTTTGAGCAATTTATTTATCTTAATCAAAGAAAAATGATTTCAGACAAAATAGTGAAAGTGTGAGTGTCGTAAATAAGTGAATAAACTTCACTGAATTTTGGCAGTTAACTTTGCTCAAGTTTCTAATTGCTATAAGCACAATAAGTCATGAAGATGATTGAAGCATAGTTTATAAATACATTTTTATAGCTAGAGCCAAAAAGCTAACTCATATTCAAAATTTATCCAATTTTTGGAAGCCCTTGAGCCTAAAAGCAAATTTTTTGGAAAATGTATGTACCTCAAGTCCTTACATGAGAATTATTATTTTCCATACCTTTGAGGAGGAGCATTAGGGCATGATAGGTCTTGAATGCTATTTTTGCAAAAATATGAATTGATTGTACATGGAAATTGAATGAACAATTGAAATTTCTTTCTAAAAAAAAAGGGAAACAAATAAAAAAGAATGAAAATTAATGTCACAAGAGAAAAGACAAATGTTGAAATTAAAAGGCTTATAGAAATATTTTTTTGTGTGAGATTAGAAAATTTAAATACCAAGTTGTATCTCACAAAGATATTGGGTTTAACTTTCTTGTCTAGTTTGTCTCTCTTGATACGTGTAATGGATTGTTAATTGATGCTTAATACTTGCCTCTTCACAGTACATAATGAATTTTTCTTAAGTAATACTCCTTACTAATATCAGACCTCAAAGCTTGAAGTATACAATCACTTTGCTTTCCAATCCACTTCTTAAATCTCTTAAATACACCTACAGTTTTGACTTGACTTGAGAAAATAAATGTAGTACATTTAAAAAATTGTGTAATATTTACTGTCCTTAAGAATTAATTGAAGAATTAAATGTATTTTTTATTAAAAACAAAGAATATTTTTATTTAGATAAAATTTTCAAAAATTTATTATTTTACTTGTGAAATTTAAACTTAAAAAATTATAGTTACACTTTTGGAAGTTTTAAATTCAAGCAAGAAAATCAATTTTAAAACATAAAGTTCCAGAATTATAAAGCGTATAAAAATAGTCTCACACTTCAGAAATTTGAAGCTGTGAAATTGAAGTAGTAAAAGATAGAAATAAATGGTGAGATCGAAGGAGAACGGCAACCATCTCACAAATCATATATAGACACAGTGAACGAGAAATAAAACATTAACGGAAGATAGGAAATTTTCACTGCCTTTAACTATTTTATTTCTTTTAATTTTTTTAATCTTAAAATTTTAAATAATTAAATGAAAATATGATTTACCTCTAGATTAAAATTAGGGACGGTGAACAATTTCACATCCCTTGTAATATTTGTAGCGAATTTAGTTCAAATTTTCAACTTGCAGGTGTAATTAACAGATTTTTTAGGTACTTATTAATTCGTAAGCACGTATTTACAGATAAAATTACAAAAATTATTCTTTGTATATAAATAAAGAATAACATAATTCTAATATTAATAATTTTAGTGTTATAATTTTTCTTTTAGTGTTACTATAATTTTTTTTATAATTTTATACTTTTAATAAAAAGTTATAAAAATTTGCAGATACTCACAAATACTTGATAAACTTAACAGGTGTCTATGATGGGAATACATGTACAACGCTTATCCACTTTAACGTTAATATTATTTTTTTATATGCATTAAATATATTTTATAATAAAAAGTAAATAAGAATGTTTTAAGACAAATACTTTAAAACATTTTTTCACGTCCCTCATCCTTGCAAATTGTGGCCAAAAAACGTCACATAAAAGGGTAATAATTGAGAATAATGACTTCTTGAACTCTCATCTTACGTGTAAAAGCACTGAGATTGATAAGTGCCGATCAAATTAATTAGTGGCCATTATAAAAATAATGCAATTTTGTCATTTTCCATATCTGTAAATGTTCGGAGCATATTGCATTTGCACCTTTGAGCATAGGCCAGGTTTTTTCTAAGAGATAGAGAGAGAAAGAGAGAGGAGAACTTAGCTGTACTTTTAGTTTATATATTTTAATATATTTGTGATTTTGATTTTTTTTTACTTTTAATTGTTTAAATTTAATTTTTTATATATTTAAATTAATTTATCTGACATAAAATTTAATTTAAAAATATTTAAATATTATTTATTTATTTATTTATAAAAATTAATAAAATATCGTACCTCTATTATATTATTATTATTATTAAATAAAATTTTGAGATAAATAACTTAATATGAACATTTAAAAAGTTAAAAGTACAAATAAAATTAAAAAATAAAATAAACACATATAGATCAAAAGTGCAATTAATTTTTTTTTATTCACATAAACTTGACGTTAAAAAGAGAAAAATTAAATAATGATTTTAAGATGATATATTTCAACCGTTTTGGGAATAAAAAATCAGTAGAACAATATAGTATTTTGTTTTTCTTTTTACTAGTATTGCCATGAAGATAATATCTTAGGGAAAAAAAAAATTGTACTCACATTAGTATTCTTTAATTTACAGTTAAAAAATATTTTTTAAAAACGAAGTGATCATTAAAATGCGTGTAATCTCTTTTAATAAAATATTTTTTATACGAAGATGAGTATGGAATTTATGTCAGCATTTTAAGAGATCTCCCTATCTGCTACAACTTTATTGGTTCTTAAACATTTAAAAATGATTTCACTTATTTAAGATGTTTGATTTCAAACATTCTCTCTAGATTTTCTTCTTTTTTTTCTTTAGGAGACTGAGTATTGATTCAACCAAGTGGAAACAAGAAATGCTTCTTATCTAGTCGCTTTATTGAATAGTAGTAGTTACAGTAATTTACTTGTCCTATATGTACAGCATCCAGGAAAACAAACATGGATTGCATCTAGGTTGCTCACTTTGTATTGAAAACACTATTCTCTATCAACTCCTATTTAATAATCTTTTTGTTGTGAACCCTTCATTACTTAGATCAAAAAATTGATAAACAAATAGCCTCTAAATATGGTGGCCACAAGCACTGATGGGTTGTTTGAGGCAGGAACAGTTTCTAGTTATGACAGGAAAAGTGAAATGAAGGCATTTGATGATTCAAAGGCTGGTGTACAAGGACTTGTAGAAAATGGTGTGACAAAAGTTCCACCTATGTTCTGTTGTGAACAATCTTCTCTTAATGATGGGTCACCTAGTGAATCATGTTCAAAAATTAGCATCCCCATCATTGATCTCACAGGCATCCATGATGATCCAATTTTGAGAAGTGATGTTGTGGGAAAAGTTAGATATGCAAGTGAGAAGTGGGGGTTCTTTCAGGTTATAAATCATGGAATTCCAACTCATGTTTTGGATGAGATGATCAAAGGAACTTGCAAATTTCATCAACAAGATGCAAATGTGAGGAAAGAGTACTATACCCGTGATTTTAGTAGAAAAGTTTCATATCTTTCCAATTATACTCTTTATGAAGACCCATATGCTGATTGGAGGGATACCCTTGCATTTTCCATGGCACCTCATCCACCTCAATTTGAAGAATTTCCTTCAGTTTGTAGGTTTGTGATCATTCTACTTTTAATATTGGCCTTCGTGATAATTCTAATTTGAAGAATTTCCTGCAGTTTAATTTATCACGATAGATGACTAATTTCTTGGAATAGTTTTTAGTTGTTGATGATATGATGCCATTACACATCATTTTTATGTTATAGGAAAAATAAGTAATTAGTACTTAGAAATATCTTTATGGTTTTACTCTCACAAAATTTTTATTGGATTTCAATTTTTATATTTAACAAAATTCACTTGATTTTTAGTCCTCGTTAAGAACTAAAATTGCGTGTTCTTTTTATATTTTTTAAGAATTAAAATTAAATAATTTTTTATAGAAATTAAAAAACAAACACAGTATTTTCAAGGACTAATAACTTATCTAAATCTACTGTATTTTGTCTAATCTTGTCCTATTCAAAATCTCCATTGGATTTAGTCTTTTAGATGTAATGTCTTCATTTCAAATGTTAGTTCTCTTACGGTTAAAGACTCTAAAGTGCGTGTTTGATGAGTTGATGACATATGTGCAGAGATATTGTGATTGAATACTCAAAGAAAACGATGGTGCTTGGTTATGCTTTGTTTGAGTTACTATCAGAGTCTCTTGGCCTTAATCGCTTTCACCTTAAAGAAATGGGTTGTGCTGAAGGGTTACTTCAGTTATGTCACTATTACCCACCATGCCCTGAGCCTCAGTTAACTATGGGCAACAAGCAGCATTCAGATGGTAACGTCATGACAATACTTTTGCAAGACCAAATGGGTGGCCTTCAGGTTCTTCATGACAATCAGTGGATTAATGTACCTCCCTTGCATGGGGCTCTTGTAGTGAATATTGGGGATCTTCTTCAGGTGGGTTTTTCATGCATAAATCCCCATTATTTTTTAAATTTGTAAATAATTTTCTTTAGCTGAGAGAATATAGTTTGAAATGGTGAATCCACGAAAGAAATTATGTTGGATTATAGTGTTTATTAGGAGGGTGGAAGGAAGTGAAAATCAATACTCAATAGTACTTTATTGGATTGATATGATGTATACCAATGTGATACAAAAACTAACATAATAGTTCTATTTATATTAACAATTAGGACAAGTTAAAAAAATGTAGCCCTGTTTGCTCAAGCATAATAATATATTAAGTTAGTGACGATGCTAATTAAATAAGGAAAAAAAATAGGAAATGAAAGAAAATCAGGGTACTCAAAAATTTATTATTTGTCAATTAAATGACTAATGATTCAACGGTATATTCAAAATATTCTTCTAAGATATTCTAAATAGACATTCTAACAGCTTGTTAAGTTGTATCAAAACATTGCTGCACAAAGGTCATCAGACAACCAGAAGATATTGGTTTTATAATTTGATTTGGAATCCTTTCACCCAAGTACCTCATTGCTCCATCAAAATTTTGTTATGTCATATACCCTTTTTCTCTTCCACTAATTCTTTGGTTTATCCATATTTACTGTGTTCCATCAAACCCATGCTTATACATGTCAAATAAGAACTGAATAGTGATATAGTTTCACTGTTTTCCATTGCAGCTTATGACTAATGACAAGTTCATCAGTGTTCAACATAGAGTTTTAGCAAAGCATCAAGGTCCTAGAATTTCAGTTGGATCCTTTTTTAGAACAGTTCCATCAACAGTCTTTGGTCCAATCAAGGAATTGTTATCTGAAGACCGTCCACCAGTATACAGGGAAATTACTCTAAAAGACTATATGGCACATCGTTATTCAAGTGGCAGTGGAACCTGTGCACTACTACACTTTAAGTTGTGATTATGAACAATTGCATGCAATATAGATGTTTTTATCGAAATGGATGTGGTTTATCTTATTCTGGTGAACTTTAGGATGTGACTTCAAGAATTGAAAACCAAACTATATTCTAAGCTTTCTATGAAAATTGTATCTGTTTAGATTACAAGAAAATATATAAGTTTGCGTCTTGGTATTTGTAAAGTATTCGATACAAATATCAAAACGAAACTTGAGAGAAGCTTTATATCATGCACTTAAATAGTCTTCAAGATATTTCTAATTTGTATTTTTAAAGCAGTAGTTAAGAAATAAATAAAAATATTATTAAAAATTATGTTAAAAATACATCGCAAATCACAAAGAAAATGTATTGTTACTTTTTTAATAATAAAAAAAAAAATTAGTTTCTTAACCAATGTAAAGAATTTCCTTATCCAGGTAAGAGAGATTCTCATGTAGAAGATTATACATTCAAAATTAATCTGTCGAGAGAGTGCAACTATATTAATTTTGACATCCTATGCGGATCAAGTTATTTTTAAAAAATAATTTAATAAATTTTTATAATTATTTTACTTCATTAATCCAACCTTAATAAATTTATATATTCATATTAATAATTTAGATAAATATTAAATAAATTAGACGTTTGTAAATATATAATTTTATAATTAATATTTACTTATATTTTAAAAAGTATATTAAGTATTAAAATAAAATTCTCAATCAATTATTAAATTATTTTTTGTATCCTTATCGGTATAAGAACTTTTAATCCAATAATTAAATTAACAAAATTAAATATTTATAAAAATATTTAAATAGAATAACTAACAAAGAACTTGATCTGCACTTTATTTGTAATATTACAATACAACTATAATTTTTCTAAAATTTAAATATATTTTTATTTCCTTTAAATATATTAGATTTTAATGTCTGTCCTTATCTATTTATTTAGTTTCTATGTCCTTGGGACCTTATTGACATGCATGATGGGATAATATGTGATATATGAGTTGATTGTATAGAATTTGGCAAAATTTTTATCAATAAAGTTAATATTGAAAATAAACTCGACCTAATCATCAACTTGGCTAATTAACAAGATACTCCATACTGAAAATTCTAACCAATTAGTATATTGAAAAAAAAGTAAAAGACACAGCAACAAATCACCATATGGCTACTAAATAACAGAAGAAGGAAAAAAAAAACATATAACATGTAATTAACAGCAAATATGATGTAGAAAGTGTCAGAAGGATTCTCTAGATACTTCAACTAAGTAGAAACAATAAATGCTGCTTATCTACTCGCTTTATTCAATTATTGCTCTTAATAATTTAATTGTCCTATATGCAGAGTATCCACAGAAACAAACAAGGATATCTTAGTTTATTCCGCTTATATGCAAAACTAAATAGATTAAAAAAAATGAAAAACACCATTCACTGTTCAATCTACTCCTCTTAACTTCCCTTGATTTTGAACCAGCCATAGTTGCTTCCATTACATAATTTCATATATTGATAGCCTCAAAATATGGTAGCCACATGCACAAATGAGTTGGAGCCAGAAAATGTTTCCAGTTATGATAGGAAAAGTGAACTCAAGGCATTTGATGATTCAAAGGTTGGTGTCCAAGGACTTCTAGAAAATGGTGTAACACAAGTTCCACGCATATTCTACTGTGGAGAGTCTAATCTCAGGGATGGCTTAAACAATGAATCAAGTTCAAAGATTAGCATCCCCATCATTGATCTCACAGGCATCCATGATGATCCAATTTTGAGAAATGATGTTGTGGGAAAAGTTAGAAATGCAAGTGAGGAGTGGGGGTTCTTTCAGGTTACAAATCATGGAATTCCAACTCATGTTTTGGATGAGATGATCAAAGGAACTTGCAGGTTTCACCAACAAGATGCAAATGTGAGGAAACAGTACTATACCCGTGATGTCAGCAAGAAAGTAGTTTATGTTTCCAATTATACTCTTTATCAAGACCCATCTACTGATTGGAGGGATACACTTGGTTTTATCTGGACCCATAATCCACCCAAACCTGAAGATTTGCCTGAAGTTTGTAGGTTTGTGATAATACTTCTAACATTATTGGACATGTTGGAACTTGAACTTAAATAAGGATAATTGACCTAATTTCTTAGGGTAGTTTTTAATTTTGTATGATATTTATACAAAATTTTGGTCATGGAAATATTGTATTTTTATACTCCTTAATCATCATGTCCTTGCCTTGGTAGGGGTCTTGGCTCTTGTTTTGTCCATTTATTTTAATAAATAATCTTTATTGGATTAATGTTTCAGATGTAATGTTTTCATTTCCATTTTTCAATTATCTCATAGTTACAATTTACAAACCCTTCTTGATGAGTTGATAACATGCAGAGATATTGTGATTGAATACACAACAAAAATAATGGCGCTTGCTTCTATTTTGTTTGAACTATTGTCAGAGGCTCTTGGCCTTGATCGCTTTCACCTTAAAGAAATGGGTTGTGCTGAAGGGCTTCTTCTTTTATGTCACTCTTACCCACCCTGCCCTGAGCCAGAATTGACTATAGGCACTAACAAGCACTCAGATAGTGACTTCATGACCATACTTTTGCAAGACCAAACGGGTGGCCTTCAAGTGCTACATGACAATCAATGGATAGATGTACATCCCACGCATGGATCTCTTGTGGTAAATATTGGGGATCTTCTGCAGGTGGGTTCATCAAGTATAGAATCAACATTTCATTCAACTTAGTAAATAGTTTTATTATGCTAAGCTCGAAGCATATCATCGAAGTTAGAGTTGTCTATTATTTGGAATGATAATTTCATGAGATAGAGGTGAAAATCAAAACCCAGGATAATACTTTATTAGATTGATATTATCCATATTCATATGATACAAAATCCTACTACAAAGGTCATATTTATATTAATATTTGTGTAAAGCAAAAGTGTACTGTTACTAGTACAATTCAGATCAAGCTTTCTTCTATATAGTTACTCACAACTTTAATAAATAAAAACATATGAGGAAATAAAAGAAAATCAGGCAACTATAAATTGGTTTCTCAATTAGATGACTAATGATTCAACAATACATTCTGAATGTTTCTGTAAGATATTTTGAAGACATTCTAATAGTTTGTAAGTTGCAACAGAGTATAGTTGTAGAAAGGTAGTTAGATAATCCAGATGATACTGGTTTTAGAATCACTTTTGCATTCCTCTTACTCCAGTATTTCAGTGCTCCAGCAAAAATTGTTCTTCCATATACCCATTTTATCTTCATTTAATTCTTTGGTTTATGCATCCCACTTTTTTAAGTCACCCTGCTTTTGTAGTACCTGTGTATCCTGTATGTCTAACAGTCAAATCTAATCTCATGAGCACATAGATACAAAAGTATTGACATGAAGATATGTTACAACATTCTGTCAAGTGAAAAATGGTTCCAATTGCAATTACCGGCCACTAGGCTTCAATCAGGCTTTTATATAATTAAATATTAAATAAATTTAAAGATTAATTATGCTCACCTATTATAGTAGTTTTATTGATTAAATGGATGCGCAAGTTTAACATAGGTTCTTGCATATCTTGATTTGTTTATCAGAATTTAATTCACATATTTTAAAGATATATGTAAAACTTCAAAACTGCGTAGTTCTAACTGCGTTTATTCCTACTTGTCATTTCACATCATCTTTGTGGAAAGTATAAAAATATAGCTAAGGTATACATGTCAAATAAGAATTGAACTGTGATTATGATTTTCACTCCTTTTTTTTTTTTTGTGCAGCTTGTGACTAATGACAGGTTCATTAGTGTTGAGCACAGAGTGTTAGCACAGCATATAGGCCCAAGAATATCAATTGCATCTTTTCTTAGAACAGATGACCAATCATCACAGGGTATTCCAAAAGTCTTGGGTCCAATCAAGGAACTGTTATCCGAAGACAATCCACCAATATATAGAGAAACTTCTTTAAAAGAATACTTGGCATATCGTTATGCAAATGGCATTGGAGGTTCCTCACTCTTGCCCTTCAAGTTGTGATTATAAAAAATTGCATGCAATTTTTCACATTTTGGAATGAGCAATGAGCTGTGGTTTAGCTCTTATTGTAGTGAACTTTGGTACGTGGCTTCAGGAAATTAAAACCAAGCTATATAGCAACTTTTTATTTGAAAAGTGTATCGTTTGGATTACATACATCTTGGTTTCTGGAGTGTTCGACACAAGTATCAAAATATAACTTGAGAGAAACTTTGTAGCATGAACTTAAATAGTCCTCAAGATATAAATTAGATAAAAGAATTTCCCTATACGGTATGGGTGATTTTAATGTAGAAAACTATACATTCAAAATTGATCTGCTGAATATAGAGAGGTGCCAATGCTGATATTATTTGGTTGAAAATGTTCACCTTTTACTTTCTACTAATTTTCATTTTCACACCTTCACTAATTGAATAAAATGTACACGAACAGGAGAGTAGGTTGCTTAACCCTTGGGGCTCAAAGCATTTTAGTGTTTTACTATTCAAACAAAAACGTTACTATGACTTTTAAAATCGTTTATTTTACTGCCAGCATAAAATTTTGATAAATTTTCATTTAGTGTCAGTCTCAACTCTAAAAAAATGCCCCAAGTTTGTTCCTTCATTCACGATTAAAAGGACACTTGACCCATATGATATACGATAACTGAAGACTTAAATACTCAACAAAATTCACCTGTAGTAGCATTCTTTAGAACACTAAGGAAATCTTCAATTGACAAGAAGATAAAGAACAGGTTGCATACATGTGGCCAAAATTTCCAGAGTCAGGACAACACAATAAGATGGGCAAGGATTTTATATGAAGGATCAAGACCAAACAGAGAAATAATATGAAGAGTATACCATTCAACCTTGGTCTAATCAAATTTTAAAGAGGAGGTACTCTTATTTTATGATGTAATAACTAGTCTAAATAGCATGGTTTTAGAGACAGTATGTCTGGAATTTCGGTATACACAAGAGAATGTATGGTATCTAAGACAAGTTTATCCCATTATGATTTCAGATATAAGGTAACCTACTTGGGCCCATCTCCCAAAGGTGCTTTGTGGTTCTGCTTCGAGACTAGGCCAATCCTCCATTTGATACTTTATGCTCACCACAAGGATTATAGTAATGCATCATTTAGATTAATTTCTATTAATCCTAAAGAAATTCATAAAACTAAATCTACATCACGTTAGATTACTGAAGATAAAAGAGGGATTTAAAAATAACTAAATTCATAAAGTTTCATGATGTAAACGCAACATAATCTTAAATTTTTTGATAAATAATTTTTTAAAATCTTTAAATACTATGATTTTCCTCAATTAAATCTCTTTATCCTCTCTGATATTTCTCTTTATATGACATGTCACATGTCAAACAAAATTGTACGACTGTTGAGAGAATTTATAAGAGAGTAATAATATAAAAGATAAAGTTTAGGTGTGTTGTTATAAATCAATGCTAATTTTCAATCAAAATTAGAGTTTTAATACACTCCTAAATAAATATTTTTTATATTTTAAAATGACAAGAATTTAAAACATATAAAAAAAATATAATATAAGATAAAGATTGTAATTGAAAAGATAAAAAGAACTAATAACACCTGATTAAACACATAATTATCAAAATAAAAATAAATACAAGAATCAATTAGAGAATAAGTTGCATGGTTAAATAAGACGTGAAATATGAATTATTATTAAACGATATTTTTTAAAATTGTTTTAAATAAAAGTATTTTAAAGAGCCATTTTCTTTTTTATTGTATCATATTACTTCTTTGGCAATAAAAGTTACTATTCTACATTTTTTAGCCCTAACCAGTAACCAGTATTAATTGTCATACTTCCAAAGGTGTTTGATTGTTCAGATGTTGTCCAAAATCTTCGTCCTATCGCTCAAGTTATACAATATAAATAAAAAATAATAATATAGTATTACTATTTTAAAATAAAAATAATATAAAAAATTAAAATATAATTTATTTTATTCCATTCATTATTTAAACAGTAAAACAATAATGTTATTTTATTTTATTATAAAATATTCAAATGGTAAAATTTTATTGTATTTCAATATATTTTATTTTAATTATCTTGATCTATTTTATTACGTTCATATACAAACATAAGTTAAATTGTTATATATTAGTAGTTTATACTTGAAATTGATAATGAAGGTTTATTCTAAAATAAATATATCTACAATAGCAATTCATTGATTAACGGAAATTAGAAGTTCCTCGTTAACAAATTTCTGATTGAAGGGTAAAAATTAGCAATTTCATGATTAAACCGCTGGCATAATTTCTTTAATGATTTTTTTATTCAGATATTGTTGATATAACACTAGGTTTAATTAAGAGAGAAATTTGAGATCACATTAGATGTACTAGAGTTTCTTTTCATAGATTATCTATAGATCATTACATAAAGAACATACAAAAAATACCGGTTAAGTATAACTTTTCTCCTTTCCAAATTCAAATATTTGTTGGAATTGTGTTAACAATTCGAATATAAAACTTTGTCGTAAGAGTTTAATTAATATAATTTTCAACAAAAAATTTTGGACTTGTTTGATTTAAAAAGAAAACATTTTTTTGTCTGTTTCACTATTTTTAAAATATTTGCATAAGTAAAAATAAAATAATTATTTTTATATAAAAAAAAAAACCTTACATTTCTCACGCCCTTAATTCTTTCTGGAAAAAATAACGTTTAAAGAAATGACAATATATATTTTGTTGACATTATTCGAAATATTAGTTTTAAGTACATTATTAATTTTCATTTTTGCAATATATATGGATGACTTTTCGTTTCTTCATTCTAGAAATCAAGATTTCTAAATGAATTGAATATCTAAGAGCTACTTTGAGTCAAACTACTCTGATAGAATAATTCAAATGAATTTAATATTTAACTGAAGGGAGACTCAGATATATATACCACTTATGAAGAACATACGATGGAAAAGGATTTAAATTTAAAAGGTTCAGAAGAACGAGCATTATTAAATAATAATAATAATAATAAGCTGTTAGATGTAAGTTAAATAAAAAATTTAAATTTAATGTAAGAATTTTTAGATTTACACCAATATCAAAAGACCCTATAATAATAATAATAATAATAATAAACTAATTACTTAACTCAACTAGACTGACATTTCGATGGTCTGAACATTGAACTTTCATTATAATTAAAAGGGAGAAAAAAATAGTAAATTATAAATTAATAGTGACTAAAAGATAATTCATCCTTGAATCAAAGTTTTATTTTTTTGGCAACGTCGTTGAATCAAATTAAGTCCTTGTTTGACAAAAGAATTAATTCCTTCTATTATGACAAGTATTTTAATATAAAACTTGTGGTTGTGATTGGTTGAGAGATTAATATCTTATTCAATTATTTAAAATTAATTGTATAAAAAAATTATTTAATGTAAAATAAATGAATCATAAATTAAGTAAAATTAACATTTACCAAGGATTTTTTTAAAAAATAGATAAATTGTTCCCTTCATTTCAAATTGGTTTTCGTTTAATTATTCTTTTACTTGGAATAATTACTCATGTATCATCCTGTAGCGCATTCCCTTGCAGTACATGTATAATTAATATTGATCGTTAAAGTTAAAAAAATTATTACAATAATTATTTGTTGTTTAAGGTTAAAATAGAAAAAAAAAAAAACAAGATAAAAATGCTTAATTAGTATCATAAAATTTCAGTTAACATAAAAGTATTTTAAAACAATTTGAAATGGAAGGAGTATAGTAAGAATCCAGGCAACAAATTCACATGATCATGTCAACAAGTATACTAAAAGTCGTGTTCAACAATATCAATAATCTCTAATACAAACACAAACACACTACTTTTATATTCCAATCTAATTCCTAACTACACAACTCAAGTTGAACCACGTCTTTAATTACGAACTAGGAGAATCAACAGCAAACTTCACTACGGATCCAAGTTCATCCCAGTTATCAAACGTGAAGAAGTCGTTTGCAATTGGATTAGTCACGAAGTTAGAGGATGGTGCAGTTAGTTGAGGTTGATGTGCCACTGGAGAACTCAATTGACCCATATGAAACTGATTCCTTTGAATACTGCTTGTGTAATTAATGATAGGTTTCTGTTCACTGTGATAATGGGCACCAAAATTTATATATGCTTCTTGATTAGTGTTAAACTCTGCATTGCTCATCTTGGTGCTCTTGTCATTGATGGAATTACGCTTAGCAGCTAATTGTCTTAAGTCTGGCGCGTGCTTCTTTTGCGACACATTTCTTTTGAAAATTCGACACAATGTCCAAATTTCCTGTAATAGAAATTGATTAATTAACTTTCGCTAAAGTTGTGAACATATTGGAACTTTTATAATTCGTTATATATGCCAAGCTTAAGTGATCATGAAATAATGGATACAAAATATTACTCACAAATTTCTTAATTCTTATACTTTTCACAATTTTGGTTTTTGTTCCTGTTCATTAAAATTTGGTTTCTCTATACTTTTTGGTTTTTATCAAGGAATATCAAGTTCCTACTGTCATGCATACTTTTTGGCTTTATTTCTTATATAGAGATCAATTTCTTAACTAAAAGGAAATTATAGGGACTCAAAATTTAAACTATAGAGACCAGAATTATATTTGAAAAGCAGTCACATGTAGAAACTAAAATGCTGTCAAATATAATATATTAAAAAAAATTACGCTTATGTAAATTTCTTACAGCTTCTTGTGGAATATCTACATAATGCTTGGAGTTGGGAAGGTTTGTTTGGGTGTCTGTATTAGAAGGAAGGCGAAACTCATGCATCATCCAATCAGTTTTGGTGCCTTTGCCTGCACTGCCACGGTAGTACACTAATGTTTTCTTGAGTCCAATGCATTTATTACCCTCTCCTCCATGTGAGTACACTGGTTTGTCTATGCCAGTTGCTTTCCAAAAGCCAGAGCCAGTTACTCTATTAGGCCTTATGCTATTCCTATACTTCCTCCCTCTTTTACAAAAGAAATACCCCTCCTTCTCTCCCCTAGTGGCACTTGCTTCTGCATACACCAAAGGTTGCAATATTTGGAGCTAATTAAGGTTAGATGCCAATAATGAAAAAGAAAAATAAGGGAAGGAGAAAGAAAAAAATCAAAGTTGCACTAAGTGGAGAAGGAGAATAATTAGAATATTTGTATTTTGTGATTCACTAAATTGTGTTCAAGTCCTATTGATTGTATCAAGCTATAATGTTACTAAGTCTGGTATTTTTAGAGTATACATTGTATATATGCAGTTGTGTAACGTTTGTACTTTATAATAAATTTGATTAACTAAAAAAATCTCTCTTTTTGACACGTTATATATCTGCATAAAATCCTATATAAGCTTGTTTTGGTTCTTATATAGTTTGTAGTTGCTCACGACCGGTATACATAGGAGGAGAGAGCTCACAAGAGACTATTGATGTGTAAGGCTCACACAGTTTATTAGATGAACAAGTGGCTGCATGTGACCATGATAGTAAGCAGCATACATCCAAGAGCTGAAAAAAGATGTTGTGTACAATATATACATACAAACGATCGAAGACTCATGCAAGCGCGATTTCATTTACCCCCAAATTAATCAAAGTTCATCCTCTCAACAGTTAGGCCTAAAAGTACATATATGTTTATGTCTACCCATCTTAATCAAACTGTATATTTATGCATGTAATTGTGATCACCATTAATATATGCTTCTAGTAGTTATTGAGAATATGGCTACGGTAGCCAATTAAAGAATCAAGCTAGAGTGTGTTAGATGAAAACCCTATTCTTATTTCTTCAGATATTAATTTCATGTTGTAAGAAAACTAAACCTACTAAATTTTTTAAGTTCAAGAGAAACAGAAGAAGATCGAGAAAGAAAAAAGAAAAGAAAAAAGCTACATATAATTATAGTGAAAATTAAAGACATACTTGGAAGATCCCAAGGATCGTATTTGTAGATATCAATTTGTTTGATGAGCTCGATGCTTATGGGTTTCTTGTCAAGCTTCCTTCGAAGATAGAAACTAACAAGTTCTTCATCTGTGGGGTGGAACCGAAATCCTGGAAGTGGAACTTCATCATCCAAATACTCATCATCCTTGATGAAATCTTCGTTAACACCCATCTTATCTTTGTCTCTCTGTGTGTGTATGTTAGCTTTGGTTTTTGCTAAATAAAGGGGATAAGAAGAAAAAAGTCGTGGAACAATTTCAAAGAAGTGAAGAACCTTCTTTCCATTATTATAGTGTGAAGAGAGTCCAATGTTATACCGATGAGTTTTTCATGCAAGTCAAGTCATGAACTCTGACTTGTGCCTCTTCATGATTTTTTTGGTGATGGACCCGTTCTAATTGTTTAATTTAAAGTCACCATTTAGGACTTAAATATACGCATTAATATTAAATTATTTAATGCATTGCGAGACGAGTGGAACTCTTCCGTTCAAATACTTTTTCCCCGTTGTGTTTTAAAAGCCATACCAATTATTGCACTAATTCGTGGGTTGAACCATAAATGATATAGACCTCTATTATGTAACATTCATCTTCGTATTGTAACGTGACCGGTCCACGTTCAACACATAATTAAAATGACTCATGACAAAAACATTTAATTTCCCTTCACAGTTGATCCACTAAATAAATAACAATTTTCACGTCAAATATCATTAAATATTCATAATATTAAAAAGAATAAATACTTTTTAATTGAAACGTTTTTAGTTGCATAGATTCATATTCTAAATATATACTAATAAAATTATTTTTTAAAGTTGTGTATTATATTATTGATGGATATTTACATTTATACTTGTAAATTGTCATCTATTTTTTATTAGATAACCATTTAAAAAAAAGTCAATTCTTTTTGTTTCACGTGAAGGTTAATTCAATACTAAACCATTAATTATAGATGAGATTCCCTTTGTAATGATCTCGTTGGTTTATGTGTACTCATGCACATGTAAGTTCTTTAGCATATGAGCTTTTGTATTAATTTTTTTTTATATTCTTAGTCCTTACATTTTTTTTAAATTTTAATTTTAGTCTCTATTTCTTTTATTTTAATTCTTAATTTTTTAAATTCAACGCTTTTTATTTTTTTAATAATGATGTGAATAATTAAGATATTATTACATATTATTTTTTTTGTTCTATCACATTAATTTTAGAGACTAAAAAATATTAAATTTTTAAAAATCAGAGACTAGCTAAACTAAAAAGAAAACTAATATCTCATAATACAGAAATATATATATATATATATATATATATATATATATATATATATTTAAGCTCTTAGAAAAATAAGAGGGTCTATTAAAGTTCATAATGCATACAACTTATTTTTATTACATTTGATAGCTTATAATATTATTGTTAGTTTTTCTTTTTCCTTTTTTGTTGTAACAAGCCATGACAGTCTAACTTCATTTTCATCAAAGAACTTTCCTTCTGAACTTGAACTTGTAATCCCATCATCTTAATTGAAACATTATTTATGTATAAGGGACTGCGAATGTAATCTTGACATGGGAAATACTAAAAGTTTAATTATTTGTATACTCACAACTTGTAACTTAGATATATTATCTAAGTAATCTTTGAATATTTATCTTTTTCTCTGAAGAGAAATTGTGATTACATAATCAGAAAATGATCATTTGGCATTTCTTTAAGATAAACATCTCAAATAAAAAGAGAGATAAAAAAATATAAAAAAATAATCAATATAATAAAAGATGCGATCGAAAAAGTAAAAAAGAAAATTGTAAATTGAATATAAAAAATAAGTGTAAAGAAGTCATGTTACTCAATCAAGCAAAGCCACACCTAAGACCGTTGACAAACTACAAGCAAAAATTAATGACAGATGTTGATAAATTCTATGCACAACTAAAAAATTTCTATAGCTTTGGACTTTCAAAAGTCTCGTAGCACTCCCAAACTATGAATGTTGAAAATTCCTTTGTTTCTCTGCCATTACACGCATTCAATTCATGTGCACATTTATGCAAAACGAATAAGAACGTAGAAGGAGGTCGCAGAGGGGGAGAGATATGAACCATATATGTTCTTAATTTCCGTGGGTCCTGTGTGTTGCTGCACCATAATCTTCTTCAAGACATCGATTCTGTCATCACTGTCATTCATCCAAAATAAGAGATGGTTTATATTTTTTTTTTAAATATTGTTATGAAATGGTTCCTTTATTGAAGAATTTTTTTAATAATATTTAGACTTAGATCGATAAAGACATGTTTTCAAGACTACTTTTATTTTTATTATGTGCTATATTACTAGCTTTTGAATATATTTTTTCTTGTCACATTTTATACCTTATATATTTATTGATACTATTAATTGTTCATAACAACCACAACAGCAATAATTATACTTCTTTCTTTTCTTAAAGGTTTAAAAATTTGTTAAAAAATATTAATATTCTAAATTTTATAAAATTTATTACTCCTATTATATTTTTTATTTCTATTAATTGGTATCTCACTGGTTTATTATCCTAAAACAAGCAAAGTATTGATTATTATAGATAAAATTATAAAATAAATACTGATTGTTTGCTAATTTTGAATAATGACGATAAAAATAAATAAAATAAAATTACAAAAGCACCAAAATAATAGATAAATAATAATATATAACTTATACATTATAATATTATGAAATTTTCTAAATTCCTCATGGTTTTAACATTTCTGTTTAGAGCAAAAAAGCAATATCTAAAAAGTTATATATATTAAAAATTCTTAGCAATTTAAATATTCCAAATTTAATTAAAAAAATATGACTATGTTATTTTTTTATTAAATAGAATAAATAAAATAAAAATTATATAGTTTATAAGTTTGCCAAATGATATGCGTTGCTAAGTCAACAAGCCCGAAACAGTTTGGTCAAAGGATACTTAGCTTTCCTTTTGAAATTAAGCAGTCTAGTCAGAGACTCCGGCTACAGCTACATGTCAACAATGCTTTATACAGTTTTTTTACGTCTTAAATACATTTGTTTTTCTTTATGACAATTAATGTATTATTTGAATATTTTGACCTTATTAAAGAGGCAAATTCACTCACCTATGTTATTTCAATGTGACTCTTTACGCATAAGTAACCTAATATCCTTCAAAACAGTAACACCAAGGATATGCAACTCAAATTACGAAGATTATAATTTTATGGGAAAAGATCAAAACTTTTATTATATTCACCCAACCATATGAACAATTAAAATGGTGATAATTAAAAAATTTTAAAATATTATATGTTGGTTGTAACATATTTGATAATAAAATAGTTGGAAGGTAAATTATCAATTGATTGATAATATAATAACTCTTACAGTGAGATTAGATCAAAATTAAACTCTTGTAAATATAACTAAAATAAAGAAAAGTACTTGTAATTATCCTAAATTTTGTCATACGTTGTGATAATACCTCGATTGTTACTTTAATTTGTCTTGATTTACACACTTGTCAAGTTGTGCTGGGAATATACTTTTATAAAGGATCATAGTCAGCTTAGTGTGAAAATATAAACACTTACATATTACGATGAAATCTTGCAAATTTAAATTATAATATTTAAATTACATATTACGATTGCCAAGCTTTTTAATGCAATACTGTGGCTGCTCCGGTCAACTTAAGGATACAATCAGAAAACTTAGATTCATTCTCTTTCAATATATTTTTGTTAAAAACCCATAAATTCGTTCTCTATTATAATAAATTTTTATTTAATAATTCAAAATATATTAAAAACATACACACTCTTTATTGAACCTAAATTATTTGATAAAACGTATGTAAAGTTTAATCAATAATAAAGAATATTTTTATGTCTTAATTATATTTAGTTAACTACACTGCACCCGAGAACACCATAAAATATTTTATATACTAACAAAAGAATTACTGGTTAGGTAGATCTATCACATTTGCATCAACAAAAGTTTTCAATAAACAAAAACTATATTAACAGAGATAAATCTAACAAATTTAATGTAATTTTTAAGTGTTCTTGACAAGTTATTTTATTCTTTTATGACTTATTTAATCATTTTATATGAATATTTTTGTAAAAAACCTTATCTCAATAATTTCATTATTTTAGACATTACTTAAAATAGTGCTTGAGCTTTTGACTTTTTTATTTTTTGCTTTTATCCTTAATACTTTAATAAATTTCCTCATTCACTTTCTCATTTAATATTATACATTTTATTTTAGAAAACTATCTTATATCATTGCATTATTTTAATTATAATATTAATTACAAAATTTAATTAACTTTTTAATAAAATAGTTGCTCTTCAAACAAAAATGACAAAAGCTGAAAATTAACTAAAAAAGAACGTCAAACTATAATCCCCTGACAATGTATTTTTCTCTAAAAAATATATAAAAATCATATAAATAAATATTTTTATATTATTTTACATTTATCATCACTAGTTTTAATAGCTACCTTTTACTAATACTTTAAATTTAATTAATTAATTTAATAATTTTTAACTTTAAACTATAATAACTTTCAGTTAAAAACTAAATTTAAATTTTATCTGTATTTTCAAAATATATAACATAAAATATGATTTTATTTTTGGTAATTTTTCTTATGCATATCCTCGAGAAAATGTTCCTTTGCAATCATTAACATTTTTCAATCCTTTATATTTTGTGGTTTTTTCCTGATTGTGAATATATTTTAGGTTTAATAGCAATTAATTATCATGCAGTGCCTAATATGTTTCTTGTATAAATTTTCTTCAATAATCATGTAAAGTAATAATTAAGACAAATATTAACATTCTAAAAGATGTGTTGATCCAATAATTAAGTAAAAGTAAACGAAATATGATTGATCCTCCTCAATTTTAAATTTTATTTATTTTATAGTTTTGTTAATTGATTATAATACAATAACTAGTCAATTAATTAACTTTAGTTATATTAAAACGATAAATTCCTAACAAATCATATAAAGTAATAATATAAATTTTTAATAAAAAGATTACAAAATATATTGAAATTAAAAAAATAAATAACTCAAGATTAGGAATATTATAATTAATTCATGAATGTGACTTTAATTAGTTGCAC